GCGGTCCCTGTGCTTTGCTAAGCTTGTTCCAAGTAGGTGCTTTAGACCACTGAGCCATCTCACCAGCCCCGAGGGCTATTAGTTTAAAAAGTATTTCTACTACATTAATTTTCTCTTCTGGATTTTTTTTTTTCAATGTATTTAGTACAGGGTCTCTGGGTTCTCACTACATAGATCAGAATGGTAGTGATCCTCCTGTTTTCAGCCTCCCAAGTGCTAGGATTATAGGCATGCACCACCTCGTCCAGTCTCAATCGCTGTCTCAGCACGCCCTGGGAGCGTGACCAGCTTGGCAAAGCCAGGAATCGATCCCCGTTCAGTCTTTGCACCTGCCTAAGCAGGCGCTTTAGTCCTCTGAGCTATTTGGCTGGCTCTTGGAATTCTAATTTGAATTTTTGTTAGATTGTTTATATTGTCCCAAAACCCTGAAATGCTGTCACTTTGTTTCCCCTTTCTTCTTTTGTATTTTGTGTGGTTGGAGTTTTTGCTTTTTGGTGGCATTAGGAGAGGAACCTGGGGCCGGGGAGATGGTTTAGTGGAATAAGCGCTTCCCTGGCAAGCGCAAGGGCCTGAGTTCAATCCCCGGTTCTGCAAAAAAAAAAAAAAAAAAAAAAAAAAAAAAAAAAGAAAAAAGTTCAATCCCCGGTTAAAAAAAAAAAAAAAAAAAAAAAGGAGAGGAACCTGACATGCTGTAACACTGAGCTATATCTTCAGTCTTTTTTAGTTTTTATTTTGAGACAGGGTCTTCCTGAGTTGCCTAGTCTGGCCTCAGACTTGCAGTTCTTCTGCCACAGGCTCCCAGGCATGGGAGCACAGGCATTCACCACTGTGCCTGACCGTGGCATTTGGAAAAGTCTGTAATATTTGTACTTTAAAAAATTTTAGCACTTTTGTTTGAATCTTTTCTATATTTTTTCATCTTTGTGTAGAATTTCTTTGTTTTTCTTTTTCTACTGCACATTTAACATATTAAGCCTAGTAAGGGGTGGGAGGCTGGAGAAAGAGCTCAGAGGGGGAGCACTTGCTTAGCGTGGGAAAGGTCCTGAGTGTTCGATCTCTCACAAAAGACACACACACACACACACACACACGAATCAGAATTACTTTAAATGTCTGTCTAGTAATTTGAGTATCATTGTCATCTGTTCCCTAGCTGTTTTGTTTCTTTTTGTTTTGCTTTCTGAGACATTGTCTTACTGGTAATTGAGATTGGCCTTCCACTCACTATGTAGAAGTGATCCTCCTGCATCAGCCTCCCAAGTGAGAAGGCTAAGTGGGATTACAGATGTGCACCACCACACCTGGCTGTTTTGTTTTTTAATAGCACCTTTTCTCTAGCGTGTGTGTGTGTGTGTGTGTGTGTGTACACATATGTGTGTATCTGCAAACTGCTTAGTTTTCTGGGTCTCAAATCTGCCAGACACGGGGAATGTCTGTTGGATTGAGTTAGCTTGTTGTAGACACTGAGCTAGTTTTAAGATGTTGGGATGTGTTACTGTGATTATCTTTGGGCTTTATTTCTTGGCCTTAGAGGAAGGAGTGAGGCACTGGAAGGTTTTTCCTCTACTTTCTGGCTGTACCTCACATTTTGGTCTTTTGTGTTTGTTTCATGTTGGAATCAGACTCAGGACCTTGCGCTTGCTAGGTGGGTGCTGTGCCACTGAGCTATTTCCAGATTTGGGCCTTGAGTGTGTACTTGCCTCTCAGGAGGCTCTTCCTCCCTATTGTTGTCTCTCTTCCCTTTTCTTGCTGTTTGTGTTCAATCCTGTGTACCTGTCTGTCTGGGTTTTTCTTCATGGTGTATCCCCACATGGGTCAGCTATTGGGGGGTGTGTGTGTGTGTGTGTGTGTGTGTGTGTGTGTGAAGCCGGGGCCAGAATTTTGTCTTGCTCCAGTGTCTCTGGGCACTTTTCTACACTCTACACTGCAGGGGGTCTTCATGTGTGCCCACCAGCTGATAGGATTTGGCTTTTCTCTAGGGAACAAAGGTCCACTGTGCTGGGCTTTTTAGCTCTCTACATCTGGACCACCTTGTCTGCAGCACTGGGGGGCCTTCTGGTCTCCACCCTGCCCCAGACTTCTTTGTGTGGTGTCTCTAGTGAACACAGTTCTAGAGTGGGTGTGAATTTTTTGCATCTGTGTGTCCAGGCTTGGCAGTCTCTGGTGAG